ACTTTTATGTGGCACATTGATACGGTAAAAGTGAAAATTTACCATTATTTAAAGTTTAATGATCATTTATGGACTCTTGGAGTGCACGGGACGGAAAACGAACGTATTCTATCCCCACATAATTATATGATTATATTCGGTGGCCGCAGTGAAACTTTTTTCGATTTTTAAATTAGGTTACGGCTCAGGTTGTTGGAGGCAAACGCTATTCGTCAAACGTTTTTAAGCAGTAAAATAAATCTTTGGTATAATAACGAAACACTTTAGTCCGTTGTTGTTACGTGGCAACCGGAGTCAAATGTCTTGAAAGTTCACTGAAATCATCGTTGAATTTAATAACATTTTCGCAATTTTTAAGGTTTCGAACACCAATGAGTATAATATAGTTTAAAGCTAATCTTATCGGATTAATTTTTGAAATACGATTACTCACGTCTGCTTTAAATTTTCAAATTAAAATCCATGTATGATAACACAAACCATTTTCAGAACATTCCACCAATTTATCTCTTAGACGTCCATTATTATTTTTTTTCTCGAAATCTTCTGCGACGAGAAGCCGATCGATCACATTCTTGTTTTTATACGTTTTTTTTTTTCGGATATATATATAATGTTATAACCAGCACGCAGGGGTTGATTTTGTTTTTGAAAGAGCACTATATTGTTACTAGTATTCCACTAGTATGTCTAAAAATGTTCGTGTTGAATGAGTATAAATATTAGTGTATGCCACGATTATGTTATAAAATTATTAAACCATAAAAAATATTAAAAACTTTTCTATGTTTACACATTTAAAATATGTGGTTGGCGTAAAATGATTTATGATTTTAAAACTAATCTTCATTAGTGCATAAATTACCTTAAATATCAATTTGCTGGTATAATGGTATAAACTACAACTGTGGTTTAAAATGATATGAAATCACATGCACTACATTAAAATATTAATAACAGTTTCACAAAAAGCAACTACAACTGGATTTAGAATCTTAAGTGTTAAACTGAAATCGTATAGCAAAATATTAAACAATGATAAGTATATAAACTTCAATGCCTAAGAGAATAAGAATTGCTATTTTTTATGCTTAATTTATACAATACGGTAAGGTATGTTGATACTTTTGAACTCTTTTAGATGAAGTTCATGATTTGTTTTGCATTTAGTAGGCAATTTGAGTTAATTAAGAAATCAAGGTAACAAGTTTAAAATTCTTATTCGTGTAATTATTAAATCTCTCATGATTGTGATCCTTCTAGTAGAAATCGTGTACGTAGACACAAAAAAAAAATACTTTGTGATAACACCAATGCATTATTTGTTTCGCTCAGAATCTGCAATTTAAAACTATTTACATTTTTGATATCAACAGTAGCTTATATATGTTACGATACAAACACTGCAGAGTTAAAAAATTTTATCTTACCCATTATATCAAATTTTACGACATGGACTGATTAAGTCACAAGCATTGATCATTTTGCTCTCGTACGATATAAAATATAAAAAAAGATAGAATAAATCATTAAAAAAAAAACAATAAAATAAAGATTTCTGTTTTTTTTTCCATTCTACCATGAATAAATCAAACGTACAGTGAACATACAGTTTCATTTTAGATCGAATTGAGAGAAAATCAAATGCCTACAAAATCTGAATTATATTTATATATAAGATAGCCTTAGACGGAAAAAATGTATATTTCGATAAAAATGCAATATTAATTTACCTAGGACGATTATTTATAAAAACACGATGAGGGAATTTTCCTGTAAGTGTATATCCTGGCTTAAGAACGGATTATAACGACAACAGCAACAACTGTGTTCATATTACGGATCGTAGAAAAGTACACTTGATTGGGGGACCGCACGGAAGTCTTGTCGATCGTGTAATGAAATCGAATTCAACAGCAGAGCAATTAAACGGTACACGCACAACATACTGCGCGCATAGCTGCAGACGGTTTTTAAAATGTTGTTAATTTATGTTCTCCGGTCGAGTTTTACGGGAGACATGGAACAAGATCCTGTCCCGTATTAGGTATTGTAGCAGGAACGAACACGGCCGGAGGGAATGTAACGGTAGAAGTACGCCGTGAGTTTATCTGGTCGAGGAGTGCGAAACGGGTATACCTGTTCGAAAGCCGCCGAGTCGATATCGCTGCCGTCGTCGGCTCACTCGATAACAATTATCGTTCGGGGTCGAGATTTTTAAATGTAAAATTAAAATCATCTCGGAGCGACGGCGAAACCTCATCGCGGTAATAACGTGTATGACTCATTATTTGTGTACAGTAAAACATGTTTCAAACGTTTGAAGTCCCGTGGAAACAAAAGAAAAAAAAAAACCACAAGGGAAACAAATGTCCGGGAACGCGGGGGTAGTAATTAATATTTTGTAGTGCACTGTACGACCGCGTAAAATAATTTACGGCGGACGGTTAGCATACATTCAGAACGAATCGAGAAACGCGGGAGAACGGGCTTTCCGTTTTCGAACGACGTACGTGATTAAAACCGTATTTTGTAAACCGTTAAGAATTCATATTTAAACGTCGAATCGGTGCATCAGGGTCGTACCGTTTCGGAAACAGAGACGGTTAAGGATAACGAAACGATTTACGATGGCCGCGGACAGATTACCACGCAGGAACCGGAAGTCCGTACGACCGAAACATTTGCTAGGACCGCGCACGTCCTAAACCGTACCGCATCCGTGATACGCCGTTGCGAGTACATAATGTAAACGGTTACAACGAGAAAATGTCTATAAAACATGCAATATTTTCAACGTCGTTCTTCTCGATTTCAAGACCGATCGTTGCGATTGGAACGCTCGACTGTCGCATGTAGCGGGCCTTATGTAAATTGCGGCAAAAGTTATTTTTTTCTAAAAGTCGATGCGTGAACTGCGGCAAGGGAACTTTTAACAACATACAATCTGCGATAAAACCGATATGATACACGTTATGCAAACTGTACAATTCATTTCACATGCCTACGATATTATATACTACATAATACGTACCTATGTACGTAAATCGTTCGACTAATCGTGTTATGCGACGTATTTTGTGTGCTCCTACGTTTTATCACCATTTTCTTTTGATTCGTGTTTGAATTTGAAATAAAAATCATTCGACACTAAATACAGTTAAAAATTATACAAAATTATTATAGTGATTAATTGTTTGCCGTTCTGGTCAAACACTGTTTTGTGAATTCCGTCGCGTTGCGTTAAATATTAAACTTTTAACCAATTCCACAGACATCTAACTGACATCAACAGTAAAGGAACCGAACTGTGTTCCGTGAACACTTAAAAATGCATTTGGATTTACCTAACCGTTTTGTATACGCAAGACGTAACGCAACAATTAATTGATTAAACAGTTCACGCGCACGAGTACATATAGGTAAATATTACATAATATATAGTGTACAATATCGTAGGTGCATAAAACGAATCGTCGCAGCTCGCACAATTTATCGGTCTTATCGCAGATCGTATGATGTTAAATTGTTTTTTCGCCGCGGTCTACAACACATCGGCCTTTGGAAAAATGTTAATTCTGCCGTGGTTCACCGTCTCCCGTAAAAAACGTACGGCCCAGGGTTCGGAAAATTACGGTCTTGATCTGGTTCGCGATTGATGAGATTGTCAACAGAACGTCGTTGAAATCGATGGAACGCGGACCGCGAATACATCGTGTTCGTCGTCAAACGCTTGAAGACCGTCTGCGTCGCGACCGCGCGGTGGACATGCCGAGTGCCCGAGTCCACGGGAAAAATATCGCCGCAACGCACTCGGAAACATTCGTCTCGCGACCCCGTTTACCGGACTCCCGATCATTTACCCGGGACTCGTGACCGTAATAACACCGAGGTTAGTGCGCGATTAAACATTTCGTGAATTATAAAAATGTACGCTATTAATACGATACGTCCCTTTCTCTTTCGAAAAAAATTATGTTAATATTTTTCACGTTCCTTACTTGACCATTCAACAAAAAGCTAAGGTTTTTTATCGTTAAACGGTGTTAAAAAAAAAAAAAAAATTGCATCAATTGTGTCCACGGTTAAGCAATATAGTTAATTTTTCGTTTTATCTGTTTGCGCAATGCTTAAGTTATACTTGATAATTAATATTTCCGTTCAACTGTATATAATTAGTTTTGAACTCCCTTCGACGTTCTGCTCATTGTATCGGAGTTCTGAAATAATTTAATTTGTTCGTCTTCATAAATATTACTGATAACGGAAAATGTAATATTGCATACATTTGTATACGTATTTTAATTACAGAACACGTGTTTATACACAGCATATATATGTATTAGGTTAATAATCAATGCAAAAACAAACCATCGATGCATTAGAATGATTTATTTCATTTAATTTTTAATTTGTAACTTCTGTTACGAGATATTTCAGTTTAAGCGATTTAGCAGTTCGAATTTATGGACGATGACAAGAACAAAATATGTTCTAACTTTATAATGAGAAATATTAAAAAAAAAAAATACTCGTCAACTCAGATAGAAATATGAACAGAAAAATGATTTTAAAAACAGGAAGTATTAGAAATCGGACCACAGAAAAGTGCAAGATATTTTAGTGTTTCATAGTATTTCACTTAAAATATTAGAATAATATTGTATGTAAAACTTATAATATATTAGATAAATATAATATACTAGCTGACCCGGCAATGCTTCGCTATTGCAAGATTTCTCAGATATTAAATTGCTATTTATTTTCTGGATGTTAAATAATTATTTTTATTTTAGACCACTTTTAGTCACGTTTTCGTGGTAATGTAGACATATAAATTTAGCGTCGCCACCGGATTCTTTATAATGTTTAAAAAAAATTATTTTGTATGTAGTGGTAAATTGTATATGTATGTAAATTGTGTATGTACATTTTGTAGGTATAACTATGGATGGAACAAAAGATGAATTATGCCAGTATTTTGATAATTATTCAAAGACTTAAAAAATTTCTTTGTAAACAATGTTATCAACTTTTTCTGGATCAGGGGCAAAAATATACAAATTAAATTTGGATGTCACACGTGACAGGGCGACGTATAGTTGACCGCGAGAAAAACATTGAACGCTTAGGTCAATTCCAGCAACGTTAAGTGTTTGTCCCTGTGCTTTATTTATAGTCATTGTAAATGCTAATTTAACGGGATATTGAATACGTTTAAACTTAAAAGGTAAATCTGAGGGTATAATTGGTATTCTTGGTATTAAAACAGTTTTTCCATTACCACAGCCTGTAAATATTATGTACTCGAGTAATGAACTTCTCAATTTTTTGATTTGTAGTCTTGTACCGTTGCAAAGTGTGGGTGGGCTCGAATTTCCCATTAAAATAATGGGTTCCCCTATGTTTAAAATCAGTGTATGTGGTGGGACTCCAGAAGGCGTTAAAGAGTTAAGAAATTCAGTTGGGGAATGGACTGCATCCTCTTTTTCTAAAACTGTATCAACTGAATAGTACATTTGTGATTGAGCGTCAAACCTAGATAGAATCAAATCATTTAATTTGTCGACTTGCTCATTTGTTGGTGACAAAATAGCCCTTTCTTGAAACCATTTCAATGATTTAGATGATATATTTTGAATGTTCGGGTACACGTTTTGAATCAATTTTGTTAAGTGGGTACTGAATTACAGAAACTTTTAATATTTATTTTATCATTCCTTGCTTGAAATTCTCCTTTGCCTATTAAAAGTAAATCTTTGACAAAATTTATATTATATTGATCTGTACATAGCGCTCTCATATTAGTTTTAAGTTCTAATATTTTTATGTAAGGCCATAAGTAGGATCTTTTTAAAGACGCGTTGACTTCATCAGCTCTTGACCCTCTTGTAACCACAGGCAAGATCTGACGGAAGTCTCCAGAGAACAACACTGTGCAGCCACCCATAGGACTATTATTATGATGCAAGTCTTGCATCGTTCTATCTAAAACTTCAACTGGAGTTTTTTGGGACATTGACGCTTCGTCCCAAATAATTAGACTACAGTCCTGCATCAATTTACCAGTACCACTTTGCTTTGAAACGTTACAGACACTCATAGTATCGTCACTATCATATTTCAAAGGAAGTTTAAATGTAGAATGAGTTGTTCGGCCCCCTACTAATAGCGTCGCTGCAATGCCAGATGACGTTACCGAAAGAGCAATTTTTCCACCATATAGATAGATTTTCCCGATAAAACTTCTACTTCTTTGTTTAATTCAAATAAAGCTTCATCAAATATACTTTGGTCAAAACTAATATCATTTGATGACAATTCCTGTCGTTTTCGATGCAGTTTATCGTCGGCCATATTTTCACGATAATTTTGCCAAAGCATCAAAGGATCAGTAATTTGACAAAACGTTAGCATGATAGCAAATAAACATCTTAGTGATTTAGGTGTACAACATATAGACGCTTCTGATAGCGTGTTTTTCCAATGAGACTCGTCATCCAATAAACCCAACGCTTTGCATGCACCTTGAAAAGTATCATAAATGACATTTTGCACTGTGCGAAGACTTTGAAAAGAAGTTGGACCTTTAACTATATGGAGCAGCATCCTCAAGTGAAAACACTCGGTATTGTTAGGATGGATTGTATATACCCTGCCCAGAGCATCGGTTTTTTTGACACCATGGTGCCCTTCCACCACAGTTCCTTGTTTACGCCGATTAAACTTTTTATCAACCTGATTCCATGTATAGTAACTTGGAATTTTATCATAAGTGAGCGTTTTAGCAAATTCATCTTCTGCGCATAATTTAAAAAACGCTGTTAGTGTCGTATCTCGCGGATTATCAACAACATCACTTACATTACTTTCTGAAAAATATACCCTTTGACCATTTTTTAAGTGAACTGCGAGATGGATAACAGTTGGTGCTCTCTCGTGTATACTAAATGATAAAATCCGCCAAATTGCTTCTGAGCTACAAATGTAGCGACCAGACTGATATTGGTCCACTTCATCTGTCGACTGCACGCTAAACGTAGCTTGATCGCTGTCTTTATTAATATATTTAGTTACATATTTTATCGACTTTATAGAACTACATAATTCAACATTAATATTACCATCAAATACTTTAAGCAAAAGTTTGTTGTAAGGTACAATTCATCTGTTGTCAATTTCATGATTTCGAATAGTACATATTTTTCTACCTTCTTTGGATGATAATCTTCTATACTTTGGATAGCCATCGTCACCAGAAGAGGTATTGTTCTGAAATTGTTTTGGGAATTTCTTAGAACACTTCCCCTCAATCATGCATGGTGAATTATGGTTAAAAGCCCCACATGGTCCATGAACCATGTGCTTTACAAAAATATCATACAGTTCTTGATCTTCTTCTTTATTTGGTATTTCAGCTGTAATTACACTGTCAATTTGGTCTGGTTGGATTTTGTTTGTAAGCCAAAGAAGAAGGTGTATATGTGGTAACCCACGCTTTTGCCATTCAACCGTATACATAAAACACCGTGGAGGGCCAAATATATTATGTTTATTAATGAGAGTTAACAGCTTTCGTACCTTTAAATGAAAAACTCGATTTACTATGTCGTATCTGTCTTGAGGTTTTGAATTAGTATGGATATTATTTAATATCTCGGGCCACTGTGGATTACATGTCATCGTGATGAATAAATCTGGTTTACCATAATTTTTTACGTAAGTCATTGCATCATGTGTTTTTTCATGAAGATACCTCGGTCCCCCCGTAAGACTTGATGGCAATATAACTAATTGTCCAATGTTATTGCTTTGTTCATTTGAGCGCAATGCGTCCTGTAGATTTATACAGTATAGACTATACTAATATATAGAATGAATTGAATGAATTCGCTTTTAAAATATAAAAAACAACAGCAGTCTCAAATCTGTACAATAGTATCGCAGCAAAAACAGCGGCAAACAGCGATGCAATCTACGTAACACACTGAAGGCAACTGTCTTGACGTAACGATTGAAAATAACATCGGCGTATGATTGTTATTGAATGCGGTGGATGGTAGTGAGTGGGAACGCCAGACGACGCGAGCGCACAATACCTGCCTTGGTTATTAGCAGTATACATTTGTATTATTAAGATATTAATACAAATATTGGATATACATGTAATTGGTGTACGTGTGATAAACTTCTCGGAACACCGCCGATATCAAACACAATATAATTTGACGAACAAAAAGGTCAGGTTGCAGGTAGCAGGAAACCCGTGGCCCGCATAATATGTACAATATTATATATATATAGGTATATATACAATTTACACGTTTATTTTAATTAATAATAACTAATTATTTATTAACTTAATCGGACTAATTTTTTACCTTAAACCTTCTCTGTGATGTCCTATTTAATTTAAAATTGCACGACGATTGAATAAGTAGTTGCGGAGTTTATAGCGAACAAAAAAAAGCGACTTCATTTTATATAGTAGTATAGATATATAGATTATATACTTATTTTTTATTTTTCGATAAGGGAAATATTTATTTTTTTTATAGCTTAAAATTTAAGGCTGGGCTTATTATATTTCACTGTAAATTAGTTCATTCGGTACTTTTTATGATTGTTTAAATTTGAATAATGGCATGGCATTATTTTTACGAAAAATAACTATTGAAATTTGATTTTAAATCATTTTTTCTACTTACAAAACTTATATTCGAATATAATGACTATTGTTTTCGCATTTATACAAGTAATGAATTTATTTATTATGTGATGATTTTTTTTTAGATTTTGAGTGAAAGAAAATTTATTGGTTTTACTAAGGTATATGTTTTCTTTACTCATTTTTATTTATTTATTTTTTTGTCTATATACACGTTTTTGACCTTAAGAATTTCCCCGATTATCACAATCATAAAAGGTTTCTGATAGAAAATGTTGCCTTTTTGGTATTTTGAAGGAGGTCATTTTATGAATTTCTTAATAATGACGAAAAACTGACGAAAAGTTATAAAAAGACTGTTAAATGTACGGCATTCTGGTTTCGTGAAATGGAATTTTCGTTTTCATCGTATCTTAAAAGATAATAATCGTAGAAACTTGACATTTTCAATCAATGAAAATATTACCGTTTACTATATATGGTTTTATTTTCAAAATATTTTATTGAACTATTTATAGATTATTGAAAATGTAATGTTGGCTTTTTTTCGTAAGATATCAATAAAATAACTTTCTTTTGACATAAAGTTTTGTAAATTTATTACCAAGTGACTTCATATTAATTAATGAAAAAAATTGAGCTAAAAAAAATTAATTGAAATTTTTACGAGTGTTTGAATATTATATTTTGACAAAACGATAAAAAATTATTACATTTTTGAAGTTTGAAATTCAAAAAAACTTTTTAATTTTATAGCTTAAAAAATACATAAAAGACTTTTCATTAGATTTTCTTGGTAGACATAGTAATAATTTACTGAAAAGGAGCAAAAAGCGTATAAGCGTAACAAACTGAAGTTTCCATGAAATCGGATATTTCATCAAATCTTGATCGAAAGATATTAGTTATTTAGTTGTTATTCGTTGAATAATAAATGTAAGAACTCAAAGCATTTACTCAGTACTTATATTAGTATAATAAAGATACTTCATAGTTTTGAAATTGAAATTCTCGATTTCTTCAAATTTAGTTTTGCTTTGGTTTTGTGCATAAATTAGAACTCTTAACTTCTATAATCAAAATATTTGGTTTTACTACTTCAATTTTTAAGAACATTAACGAATCTACCCGATGTTTTGAGCTCAGAATCGCCATTCATTAATAATAGTACAATATCATGTAGAAAACAACAACATGAATAGAGCAATTTCGGTCACCCGATCTTGTTTCCCAACCGTCCGTGTAGTTAAACCATTTTTCTAATTTATTTCACACTTTTGTTCGTTTTCACGAACGTGAAAATAAATTGAACATTTACAACTGAAAATCGAGAGACGATAAGTTTTGTTCGGGAACTACAATCATTACAACACCACTTAAGTCCGTTCGGACCATTCTACGGAAGTAGTATCTGCAACGGATGGTGCTTTGACGTTGGCATCGTTGACGTGCCTACCCGAATATAATTTTTTTTTTTTGTTTTGCAGACAAAATTACAGATCTCTCCCGCTCACAGATGTTATTGCTTGTTGCAAAATACGAGTGAAGCTACCCAAATTAATCATATCGTTACTATAACATGTTCGTCCAAAACACTTTGCCTAAGTCCGTTGTTGATATTTTCTATGATTAAACTTGTATGATTTCTGTTTTTTTATCCTCCCAAAATTTGGTAATTTTTCAGTGATTTTCTAATTTTTTTTTTATAAATAAATTAACGTCAATCGGCTTTTACAAGTATAATGGCATAAACAATAATTGTTATAATTATTATAACAATAACATTATACAATAATAACAGCAATAGCAACAAAGAAAATCAATACGGTAAACGTATTAAAAAACAATAATATAAAGGGCCAAGACGTTGCGAGATTGTCGTAAACTATACGAATAATTCGTGTAACAATTATTTTATCATTCTAGAGCGAGATTCATTCGCAGCATAGTTGGATCGACGTTTTGGTATGTGAAACGTGCTCTGATATCGAGTATTTCTTGGAACGCAAATGAATTGATATTAACTTTTGATGTATGACTAGCATAAACTAACCACAACAGCGGTACGGATACGTAATATTGGTACTTCTATGATCGGAACAACTTGTAAAGCCTTTTTAAGTTGAGGAATACCTAATCATTTTTTATGAAAAAATGTATTTAAGATCAATATAATAAATAACAATAATAATCATGAAAATAATCTTATTCTTTCGTTTTTCATTTTATGCAAAATTGTCTCTATTACATTTAATCGATGGATTATTTTTACCTTTTTAACAATTCGATATTGTATTTGTAGATTATTGACATTCAGAATCCAATGAATTTTACAATCACAATGGGTTTTCGTTTTAGTATCGGTAATATTTCTCCGTGGACAAAAAAATATGTTACCTAAATCATCAGTTAATTTTCCAAAAAAAAAAGCAACCAATTCAAACGAAATGATAATTTTACTGTGATGAACGTACGTAGTGTATAATGAATCATAGGAAAAATCACAATAGACCATTATTGGTTTTCACAGTAAGTGAAATGCAGTATTGGTCACGACGGCTATGATAACACACGCAATCAAAACGGTAACATGTGATAAATCATCTTCGAAATGAAAATTGATTCGACTACTACTACTACTAGTATTATGAAATACTTTAAATATATACATGTGTGTGTATGCGCGCGCCCCTGTAAAGTGCAAGAAGAGCTTTGCGTTCATTGTTCGCCAACGTACCTTTATTTCAATTAACTAACGGGATATGTTTCCGCAGTTGACGAGGTACGTAATGTGGTTAAACGTTTAACACGCCGTTGCCGTCGGAAAGCTAACATGTACCGCGGTACAACACGACCAGGAAATAATTCTATTCGACTAATTAAAATTCCAACGTCCGCTCGTCGACGACGCGATCGCTCGCTGACCCGTGGAACGTTTTCCGCGCGCAAATTTACGGTATCATTTCGCGAACGAAATTTCGGTTTCGGACGTACCGCGAAAATATTGCGCGTTGTTTGCACCCGCGAACGGATCATCGGGTGGATCCAACATCTATTTACGGTCAGTGCACTTTGCAGAAGAAATCATACAACACAGCTAATCGTAGATGCACAGATGCCTTGGAGGGGCTTAAGAACCCCTCTTCCCCTAAAAAAAAATAATTATGTGACAACGTTCTATTAAAACTGTCAACGTTTTTTTTTTTTTTCATGTCCGTTATTTAATTCTTCCGAACATACTTTAATTTTAATATAATTTCGTCCGTAAAACCGTCGCCTCCATGATGAACACGCTGTCTCATACGTGTTGCACGCACCATCTAATTCGCTGTCGCGAACACGTCGAGATATCCAAGAACGTTTTTTTTCACTCGTACGAAGGTGCCCTCAATGACGAAACTTGTGTCGGCCGTAAGGTATACGTTACGTTTCAGACGAATTGTTTCCGAGCTCTTTTAACTCTATTATTGCGCTGGACCGACCGAGTTGCTTTCTTGTCTGCTGTTTTAGATCGGAGCAATCGCTATTTCAGACGTAAAAAAATAAGTCGAGAAAAACGTTGAAATATTCTTATGATATTTATTTATTTTTTAAATTTTTTTTGGTAGTTTATTCGTTTACATTTACCTTAACCGGTAAAATATTAAATCGAATAAAATGTTTCTTGGGTAACGAAATAATGAAAATATGTTTACATTCAGTCCGGAGGCCAGAAGTGTTTAGATCCATAAAAATGTGATTATCGAAAAATCCTTTCTTAATGCACCTGTACATGATGATAGTAGTACGTTTTAAACTAATCGGTATGATTGTCTTAGCTGTGTGCCAATCATTCGGCCAGTGAGTGGTATTTGAATTTCATAAACAACATAAATTGGATCGTTTTAGATTTGCATCGAAGACATTATTATTCTGATTCAGATAGTATAGTGCTGTAGCCATACACTATTATACATGGTATAGAGGACTTTATTTGTGTTAAAAAAATTACGGTTATTCATATTTTAAAATCGTAATTTATGTAGCACCATGTCTCTAAAACACCCTCTGCGATCATTTA